GAACTCACAATGATCCTCCTGCCTCATCCTGACTGCTGGAATTACAGGCGTGTGCCACCATGCCCAACTTAAAAATAAAAATTTTTAAAGCAGCCATCCTGAGCTGTCCCTACCCATAGTGGTTATTTGCTCCCCACAGCCCTCTTTACAGAGTCTGCAGCTGGGCAAAGACTCCCTGCTGCAGCAGATGCTCTTTCTCCCTCCTCCTCACCTGTGGTGTACAGCAGGCCTCTCACCCTACCTAGCTCAAGCTTCAGGCTCCTCCGCCCGCAAGTCATGCCCCTAACTTGTGTTCGGCATCACTCCCGTTCTCTGCCCTGTGTCAGTGAGTAGGACCCAAGCAGGCCTCCTGCCTGCCATACCCCGCTCCCACCTGTATGACCATGTCCCACGCTTATCTTCAGATTCTCATTCTCATGGGTGCAACTAGACCATATCACAATCAAACACTTCTACCCGGGCTTCCCACCTGGCCACCAGAACACCACTCCAACTGTCCAATCATTCCCTTGGCACCCGACTCCAGGAGGCTGTGACTCCCCTGCCCAGGGCCTGTTCGCTTCCCCTTGGCTGTCAGCTTATGCCACACCCACCATTCCTCCTGGCACTCACTCTCCAGCCCTGGCCCTGGATGGGCTGAGACAAACATGGCGTTGGCCAACTCCCTGCCACTCCCCTCAGTGCCCACCTGGGAATCCCAGCTGGTAGCCTAGATCCACATGTCCCGAGTGGGCCTCTGATCATTCCCCACCCCTCTCTGTGCAGGGCCATTTTATCCTTCCAGGTACTCAAGCCAAATTCCTGGGTGTCACCCTTTACATCTTTCTTTCCCTAGCACCCCACAGAAAATCCTGCCACCTTTACCCTAAAATAAATCCAAGAGCTGGGGGTGAAGCTCAGTGGTGTGAGAACTTGCACATGTAAGACTTGGGCTCAATCCCTGGTATGGGGTAAAAAACACTTTCCTAGGATTTTACTCAAAGTCAAAGGTCTACAATGGCCTTTGAAGCTTTGTGCAGGCTGCACAGGGCTCTAACTACCTTCATTCCCTCACTCCCCTTGAGACATGGGAGATGGGCGCAGTCCTGTCCTTGAGACCTTCCCTTGCTTGAACTCTCCTCCCTCCGGCATGAGAGTGGCTCAGCCTCAGCCCCTTATCCACTAGGCTCCAGTGCTGCTTCTTATGAAGTCACACTGATCACCTCAGTTGGTCACCCCACCAGCCCTCAGCACTCCGATCTTCCTTTTTTTTTTGTCATTTTTGAGACAGGGTCTCGCTATACAGTTCAGGCTGGCCTTGAGCTCACTTTGTAGCCCAGGCTGGTCTCGAACTCTCAGTGATCCTCCTGCCTCAGCCTCCTGAGTGCTGGGATTACAGGCATGTACCACCATGCTCGGCTTCACTCCATCTTCTGAGCCTAGCTTGTATCATCTAACACATTCTCTAATTTCCTTTTTTTTTTTTTTTTTTTTTTGAGACAGGGTCTCACTATGTAATCCAGGCTGGCTTGAACTCTCAGCAATCCTCCTGCTCAGCCTCCTCAAGTGCTGGGATCACAGGCGGGCTGTAATATCCTTTCATGTTTGCTGTTTATGGCCTGGCCCCTCCTATCTTGCTAGAACACGTGATCTCCACAGGGCAAAGATTCTGCCTTTTTGTTCCTGATGTGACCTGAGCAACTAAATGTGGTACATTCACTACACTCCATGAAGAGAAGTGCTAAGTACTGGGGGGAACCTGCCAGGCAGGGATGAAGAACAGACAGGGTGGGGAGCAGGTAGAAGGAAGTGGAGAACAGATGGAGAGAAGGTCAGGGCAGACAGCAGAAAAACCACTGAACACCAAAACTGGGTGGTAAAGTGTACACATTATGGCAAATAGGGATCCACCCTGGCAAGCCTTCTTATTCCCAAAAATGAGAAAGGGGTCATTTACATTTCTTTGGGCCAATGACATGACTTCAGTTTTTTTGTTTTTTGTTTTTTTTTCTGGTACCAGGAATAGAACTCATGACCTTGTGCTTGCCAGGCAGGCGCTGTGCCGCTGAGCTAAATCCCCAGCCCATGACTTCGTTTTGCTTTTAGAAGACCTCTATGGTTGTTTTAGGTGCCAAGGCCTGGGCCAGGCCTGAGGAGGTGGAGACTACAGAAACAGAGCTGCTGCTCAAAGTGCTTCCCAGCCACACACTGGCCCACTACCCACAGCCCCAGTGTGGGTGCCACGAAAGGATAGAGAACAGCTAAGTGCAGTGGCACTGTAACCCCAGCAGTCAGGAGGATGAGGTGGAAGGATCACTGCAAGTTTGAGGCCAGCCTGGGATACACAGTGAGTTCAAGTCCACTCTGGACTACACAGTGAGACTCTGACTCAAAAAACCAAAAACAAAATAACCAAAAACCAAAAAAAAAAAAAGAGAGAGAAAACAGCAGACAGCTGAGAGGCTGATCCAGGGAAGAGGTGCCCTGGGGCAGGGAGTCTTCCAGCCTTGGCTCTTATGTGGGCAGTGCCAAGCCTTCCTGACCTTAGGCAAGTCACTCTCCCTCTCTGGATCACTGTCCTGTATCAACTGGCCCGGCTCCATAATAACAGGCACCTTTGAGCATTGACTATACAGTACACCAACTCTATAATTGAGTGCTTACTTGATTATTCCTGCTAATTAATCCAATAACCCTATAATGGTGGTGATGAATTGGCTTTCAGACGAGGACACTGAAGCTCAGGGAGGTTAAGGACTGCCCCAAAAACTTCAGTGAGTGTGGATGCAACTGGGGTGAAGGGAGGAACTGGGCTGAGGGCAAGGTAGACAGGCAGGTAGCTGGGGGCAGTGGTGGGGAACCTACCTCCATGGTGGCTGCTGCTTCTCAGCTGCCTCTGCTGGTGACTGGTGTCCCCCAGGAAGCCTCCTGCTGTGTTGCTGCCTAGCCGGTCCCCCGTGGGGCCGGGGCCCAGGCCCCTCTCTTCAGAGCTGGAGTCTTCCTGCTCACTTGGCTCAAACTCTGGGATCTGGAACATGCTCTGGGCTGTTGGGACAAGATAAATGTAGTCAGGAACAGCCTGGGCAAAAGGTAGCTGTTGGAGGCAGGGGACTGGTATCCTGGCCCCTCCTGCCACCTTAGCGCTCCCAAGCCTGCCCTTCCTCCAAGCCCTCATCTGTCTGCAGCATCTGGTCGGGCAGGGGCGTCAGGCTGCCCGCACAGGCCCCAATTTTCCGCTCAGGGGCCTGGTGTCCCAGGATCGCCCCGGGCCTCCAAAGAGGCCCTAACCTGCCCCGCCCGTGGTGCCTGCGCTCAGGTCTCACCCTAAGCCCGATCTCGAGGCCCCTGACCCGGGCCCGCCGCCTCCCTCTAGTACTGAGGGTGCCCAGCCCTAGTTTCCTGGGCAACGCGAACTGTCACCAACTCGGGCCAATCGGCTCTGGAGAGAAATCCCGGGTTGGCCTGGAGGCGGGGCCACCGCCGCCCTGCCCCAAGTCTCCGGATGCCCTGCTCAGACTTCCTTAAAATCTTTCGGCGTGGGTAGGAGCGGGTGAGGGCTTCTCTGGAGTCCGCATGTGGAACCTGAAGGGCTGTTTCTTGCTGACGAGTCCTTCTGGGCCTTCGTTTCCTTCCCCGTAAAATGGAGATAATGACGCCTCCCTCGGGAGTCGGTGAAAACTTTGTAAACAGTGATGATTACAGTGGGAGAAATCACTCTGCAAAGCCGTAATTGACGCTCAGCCGTCGGATGCAATCACTGTTGCTACTGTTATTGCTCCGCCTGGACTGGGTGACTCGGCCCGGGAATTCCCGTTCATGCGTGTGGCGGCCTCCCGCTGCCCGCCTCGCCTTGGGGATCCCTCCCCGCGCCACTTCTGCATCACTCGAGATAAGAGGGCGGCTCTGCTCGGGCAGGATGGCTGCCCGGACGCGGGAAGGGGACAGGGGTCCCTGTGCAGGCGAGCCTTAGTGCTCCGCCGCGGGCCGGTGATCGGCCAGGTGAGCGACGTTGGCGGGCTAGGTAGGGGGTGGGGTCCGGACAGGAGACTTCCGGCCCAGGTCCGGAGACGGGGTCTGGAGGCCATCTTGGCTATGGGCGGAAGTTTCCTTCAGAGACTGGGTGAGGGGAAGCGGTTACCGCCCCCATCCGGGCAGCTCGATACTAATTTGGGGATAGGGGGACCTAAGAGTGGAACTTGGCAGCTTCCCAAACAAGGAAGGGCCGGCGGCCCACCCGGACACCCGCTGGGTAGGGCACAGCCTTCGCGTTTCGGCTGCTCTCCGGCCCCGGTAACCCACGGTGCGCGCCAGCGATACAGATCCCGCCTATTCTTGAATGGTCTCACGCCGGGCGCAGCGCGCCGCTGCGGAGCCCCGGCCAGCCCCTGCGCAACTTGCGTAGCGAACGTTGCCCGCGCAGGCGCAGGAGGGGGTGAAGCCGCGGGAGCCGTGGAGCTGGAGCCTGGGGTCCGGCGAGCAGACCCCGCTTTACCAGCTGCGGCCTGAGGAACTGGGCATCGGCCTCATCCCGCCCTCCTCGTCTTAAGGGTGGATGCGGGGAGGAGGGGGCAACGGCTGGAATCCAGAGGACAGAGGAAGATACCTTCCCGGATTATTGGAGGGGAGAGAGCCCCGAGCTTGGGGAGGGGGAGAGCCGGGCGTTGGGCGTCCCCGCCGCGGCCGCTGCTCACAGCCGGCGGGCATCGGCTGGCTCTCCCCCTCCTGCCAGGCCGACACTAACGACCAAGGCTCCTCTCCTTCAGCCTCTGCATCCCCTCACCCCCTGACTCGGGGGAGACCTCGGGAGATTCATCCCCCAAACCCTACCCCCTCTGCTCGGGAGAGGAGAGACTGCCTTTCTACACGCCCAAGTATCCCCCAAGGGCAAGGGTCTCTTTTTAGAAGGAAGCGCTGGCCAGCCACAACTTCTTTCCTCCTGAGTCCCCATCTCTGTCACTGCGTCCTGCAATTCCCATCCCTTTGTATTTATTTCCCTGGCCCTCAGCCAGCCAGTATCTGTCTCTGGTGTTTAGGCCTCCCTCCCAGACATGGAGAGTAACCTGTCTGGCTTGGTGCCTGCTGCTGGGCTTGTGCCTGCGCTGCCACCTACGGTGACCCTGGGACTGACTGCGGCCTACACCACTTTGTATGCCCTGCTCTTCTTCTCTGTCTATGCCCAACTCTGGCTGGTGCTTCTGTATGGGCACAAGCGTCTCAGCTATCAGACGGTATTCCTGGCACTCTGTCTGCTCTGGGCCGCCTTGCGTACCACCCTCTTTTCCTTCTACTTCCGAGATACTTCCCGGGCCAACCACCTGGGGCCCTTGCCCTTCTGGCTTCTCTACTGCTGTCCTGTCTGCCTGCAGTTCTTCACACTGACGCTCATGAACCTCTACTTTGCCCAGGTAACTATGGTGATGGGTGGGGGTTGTCGGGGAAGAAGCCCCAAGGGCCCAAAGGAGTGATAGGCATCTCTGCTCCCAGGTGGTGTTCAAGGCCAAGGCAAAGCGTCGGCCACAGATGAGCCGAGGCCTGTAAGTACTCGGGATGCTGCTGGGCTCAGCATTCTGGGGCAGAGAGCAGCCCACCTTGTAGGGTTGAGACAAAGACCCAGGGAATGTTTGTGAAAGAGCTTGGAAAAGCTAAAACACCTGGTGCAGATGGCTCAGCAGAGGCATTGCCCACACAAGGGGCAACAGTAATAGCAACTGCCTTGAGGGTACCAAAGTCATTGGGATGGAGAAGGAGCAGGAGGCTGCAGCCCATGGAAATTCCAAGCCAACTGCACTTCTCAGTGACCTTGGGCTGCAGTATCCCTGTCATTTGTACAGTGTCTTCTCATTTTTAAGAGCTTTCACAAACTTCTTCCTTTTTACAACTCACCTGAGAGGCTAGTCTTATCCTCACTTGAAAGAGAAAGAAACTGAGGCCCAACAAGGTAAAGCCGCATGTTCAAGGTCACAGAGGTGGCAGGAGGTGGAGCCAGGGCCCCAACCCAAATTGTTGACTCCGGGCTGGGGATTTAGCTCAGCGGCAAAGCGCCTGCCTGGCAAGCGCAAGGTCGTGAGTTCGGTTCCCGGTACCGGAGAAAAACCAAAAAAACCAAAAAAAAAAAAAACAAACCAAATTGTTGACTCCCAGTCTGGTGATGTTTCCAAGATGCCATGGCTGTTAGTCACAGTACCTCTTTGGGCCTCAGTTTCCCCCCTTATAAAACTGGAGGAGCGGGGTTCAGATGGGACAATCTGAGTTCTCACTGGGGTCCCCTGGGGGAGGGAGGGTGGTTGGTGAGTACCAAGAGCAGTCAGTGCTCTGGGGCTGACTGTCCTGTGGGGCTGCAGGCTGGCCGTCCGAGGGGCCTTCGTGGGGGCCTCGCTGCTTTTTCTGCTGGTGAATGTGCTGTGTGCAGTGCTGTCCCGCCGGCGCCGGGCACAGCCCTGGGCTCTACTGCTGGTGCGTGTCCTGGTGAGCGATTCCCTCTTCGTCATCTGTGCTCTCTCTCTTGCTGCCTGCCTCTGCCTCGTTGCCAGGCGAGCCCCTTCCACTAGCATCTACCTGGAGGCCAAGGTAGGGCCGCAAACAGTGATGTCCAAGTATTGTGGGGATCTTTGGGCAACAGTCTTAAGGTCATAGAGGAAGCTGGGAGCCTCCTCTCCCTGAGGGTCCTCTGTTGTCATCTGTGCCAGGGGACCAGTGTGTGCCAGGCAGCTGCCATGGGTGGTGCCATGGTTCTGCTGTATGCCAGCCGGGCCTGTTACAACCTGGCAGCCCTGGCCTTGGCCCCCCGGAGCCGGCTGGATGCCTTTGATTATGACTGGTACAACGTATCTGATCAGGTGGGTATTTGACATGTCTGCCACTTTCTTAGTAGTCATGGTGTCTGGTTGGCCCAGACACTTCCCAGCACCCCTCTGGCATGATTGAGGCTTGCCAAGACTTTTTGCCTACCCCCAGGCGGACCTGGTAAATGACCTGGGGAACAAAGGCTACTTGGTGTTTGGCCTGATTCTCTTTGTGTGGGAGCTGCTGCCCACTACTCTGCTGGTGGGCTTCTTCCGGGTGCACCGGCCTCCACAGGACCTGGTGAGGATCTCTGTCCACTTCCTCGGGGCCAAGGGAAGGGACTGAAATGTGGGGATCCTGGCCTGGGGTGTCGGGACAGTTGAAGGGGATGGGAGAAAGCATCAGTAGCAATGCTTTCCCCTTTCCCCAGAGCACCAGCCACATCCTCAATGGGCAGGTCTTTGGCTCCCGTTCCTACTTCTTTGACCGGGCCGGGCACTGTGAGGATGAAGCCTGTTCCTGGGAGCACAGCCGGGGAGAGAGCACCAGGTAGAAGCCCACAACGCCTTAGGATCCCTGGGCTCCTTCCTGGCTCCATCCAGTAGTGGGGACTGGGAGCTGGGTCCCCCTGCCTACCACGACCCTAATCTTTGTCTCCCCGTCTGTTTTAGGTGAGGTTCCCCTCTGCATTTCTATTGCTAAAATCCATGCCCTGCTGGGCATGGTGGCACATGCCTATAATCCCAGCCCTCAGGAGGCTGAGGCAGGAGGATCTCTGCAAGTTTGAGGCCAGCCTGGGCTACATAGAGAGTTCAAGGCCAGCACGAACTACACAGTGAGACCCTGTCTCAAAAGAACAAAACAAAAAAATAAAATCTCTGCCCTTTGCCCCAGATGTAGTCCACTGTGGACCCAGGAAGTCTGAGTCATGGGGGGCTCTATTTGAAGCCTTTCTTCCTCTCCTGACTCATGAATATGACCCTGGCCACTGCCTTGAGACTGACCCTGCTTCTTTTGCCTGCAGCATGTCGGGCAGCCTAGGCTCTGGCAGCTGGTACGGTGCCATCGGGCGTGAGCCGGGCTGGTGCGGGGGCAGCCAGACGAGGACCACTCCTCTGCTCTTCTCTCAGGTGCCGGGACCCGGTGGCCACCACCACAGCCTCTACTCTACCCCACAGACGTGACCCCCTCTCCACTGCCCCCCCAGAACACCCAGACCCAAGTCCCCCTTACCCAGGCCCTTGTGCCAACTTTATCTGCCGCTTCTTGATCAGGGTCCTGGGGGCAGTGGCTGCCCCCTCCTCTGGCCGGCCCCTTGCTGCTCCTGTTGTAGTGAGCTTGTGCCACCTTCCTAAGATGGGGCATGGGCCTGGCTGCCAGATGCCTACAGCACCCTGGCATGACCTACCACCTCCGCTTCCACACTGGAGCCAGCTACCTCTCCTGTGCCTGCCACTCAATAAACAGTGTCTGTGCCCTGGTCTGTTTACTTGTCTGTCACTCATCTGCTTTGTGTTCCTCTCCTCGGCCTCAGACTGATCAGACAGTGACAGTGGCCTTTGCAGTGGGCTGCTAGGCTGGTGGGCAGGGAGAAGGGACCTGCCATCTTCCAGGAAAGAGAACCTGCACAGACCTTTGTTCTCAGATCTCTCCTAACCATAATGGCCCTGGTCTATTTTTTCTTTTTTTTTTTTAAGCAACTCCTTGTTTTGTTTTTCTTTTTGTCTTTTTGAGACAGGGTCTTGCTATGCAGTTCAGGCAGCCTTGAGCTCACTTTGTAGCCGAGGCTGGCCCTGAACTCGCAGCTATCCTCTTGTCTCAGCCTCCCGAGTGCTGGGATTATAAGGGTGCACCACCATGCCCGGCTTTTTCTTTTTTTAATTTTTTATTTTAAGACAGGGTCTCACTGTGCAGTCCAGGCTGGCCTTGAACTTACAGTAATGTTCCTGCCCCAGCCTCCCAAGTGCTGGAATTACAGGCATATACCACCATGCCTGGCTAATAACTTTGCTCTTATGCCACATCTACTCCCCCACACCTCAAATTTCAATTCCCCAAGATTTTTTTTTCTTTTTTTTCTTTTTTTAAAGCCAGTCATGGTGGCACATGCCTGTAATCCTAGCACTCGAGAGAGAGGCAGGAGTATCACTGAGTTTGAGGCCAGCCTAAGCTCCATAGTGAGTTCAAGGCCAGCCTGAACTACATAGGGAGATCCTGTCTTAAAAAAAAAAAAATTTTTTTTTTTTTTTTGGTAAGATAAAAGAGCAGGGATCTCCCTATGTTGCCCATGCTGGTCCTGGGCTGGATTCAGGCAGTTCTCCTGCCTCAGCCTCAGCATAGGTAGCTGGGACTACAAGGCTGCACCACTATGCCTAACCCAGAGTACAACTACCCTGGTGCTGGAATGTAGCTCAGTGGTAGAGCCCTTGTCTGATGTGCACAAGACCTTAGGTTGTGGGAGTGTTCTTTATGAAGCCTTTCATCTCATGTCAAGTTACTGTGACCCCTCTCCTGGGCCCCACGGCACTGTGATTATATGGCTCTTACACATTTTAACCTGAGTGGATTGGGCCATGTGGAGTCCTGGTTTTCTTTCTTTCTTTTTTTTTTTTTTTTTTTTTTTTTTTTTTTTTTTTTTTTTTTTTTTTTTTTTTTTTTTGTCTTTTTGAGACAGGGTCTCCCTGTGCAGTTCAGGCTGGCCTTGAGCTCATTTTGTATCCCAGGGTGGTCTTGAACTTGCAGTCATCCTCCTGCCTCAGGCTCCCGAGTGCTGGGATTACAGGCGTGCGCCACCATACCTGGTGTTGTCACCATTTCTTCTTTTTTTTTTTTTTTTTCTCTACCAGGAATCAAACTCAGGACCTTGGCCTTACCAGTTAGGCACTTGTGCCACTGAGCTATCTCCCCAGCCCTTGTCACCATTTCTAATCTGCTGTTTGATACCAGGGGTTACTGAGGGCCTGCAGAGGAGACAGGTTGTTGTGGTAGGGGAGCGGCCTAGTCTGACCATGGTGTGGCTTTGCCTAGATAGGTGCTGTGTCTGCCTTGGGAATCCTGAGGGGTTCCTTCCCTAATAGCACAGTCACTGCCCTATGCTCCTGTCTCCCTGGCAGGTGTTTATCAGCATCTAACTCCTGCCCACATCCCTAGCAGCTCCAGCTCTCCCAAGTTTCCAGGGCCTAGCACTTGGCCTGTCTGGAAATCCATTGCTTGGGACCGTCCTGGGCACCTGGGGAAAGGTCATCTGCGATGCACAGAGAACCAGCTTGAGCCTGGACAATCACTTTTCATTAAAAGGAAAATTGCCAACGTTTGTAGGGCATTTAATTGTTCGTTCTAAGCATTTATAAACACTGACCTCTTAAAAGCCCTGAACATCACCCCAAGTGATAATCATACTTTTTCTTTAAGTGAGAACAGGGAGACTCCAGAGATTGAGAATCTGCCCAGGCCCTCTACTGGTAGGAAGTGGTAGCTTTACATCCCAGGTTTAAAACCACTTGCCTGGAGATGCTCAAGGACCCCAGGAGCGAAGAGGAGGGTCTTTGGCGAGCTCAGAGGTTGTAAAGAAGTGGGTGAGAGCCGCAAGGGGCGGGTTTAGGGTGAGCCTGAATCTTGCCTGTCTTGGCAGCAGGGAGAGTATAGTGGCACCAGTTCGGCCCAGACCTCTGAGGCTGATTCCTGGAGGTGAGGACCCGGAAGCAGGGCAGGAATTCCCTGGCAGTGACTTCCCAGACCTGGGTCCCAGCTCTCACGCAAGGACAAACCCAGGTGCCCTGGAGTAATTCCACCCCTTTGTCCCCAGGGACCCCTCCCTCAGTGCTGAGCCCAAGGGCCAGTCTGTCCCAGGGGAGGAGAGATAAGGGCCCTTCCCAGTGCTGTAATGGGCCTGGAAGAAGCCGGGAGATTAGTGTGGTCCCTGCCGGAGACGTGGGCCGGCAGATGCTCAGGCTGGGGCCGTGCCGGTAACCGAACAGGGCTGCGGTCCGAGGCTAAAAGGTTAGACCCAGCAGCAATCCGGCTCGGTTCCTCTGCGACCCTCCGCACCAGACCGAGAGACCGGCGGCCTCAGGTAAAAGCCTTGGCGTGAGCGAGGTGGCTGGGGAGCCAGCGGCAAGGGCGCGGCACCAAGGGCAGCACGGCGCTGCAGGGGTTAAACGCTGGGGGAGGGGGCTTCTGGGGGGGGTCCCAGCCCCGGCAGCCGCCCGCCCCGCCCCTGTCGCCGCCGCCTCCGCGGCCCTGCGGGCACCTGGGAGGCGGCGCGGGAGCCGGACCGCAGCCGCAGCGCGGTGGGGCCGACAGTGAGTGCCGGGCGGGCACGGGGACGCGGGCACTGGGCACCGGCTCCCAGGGGGCGAGCGGCCAGATAGGGCGCCCACCCCCAGCGCATGGGCGTCTCTGGGAGTGGTGCGGCTACTCAGTCCCGCCGCCTGTCACGCTCCGAAGCGTCAGCGTGGGGACGCGGGGAGGTGGTGGGGGCGAGCGGCCGGGGTGCGGGGCGTGTGAATGGCAGGCATCACGCGGTGGCCCCACGGTCTGAGGAGTGTGCACACACGTGTGCGTGGGCCTCTAAGTGCCGTGGTTTGGCCGGAGCACCCCTTGGGATCCGGGCAACCCAGGTCCTCTCGAGCGTGTGGGCGGAGGGTGTGTGTGCAGCTAGGGCGCACGGCGCGCGGGACCCGCAAGGTGCAGCGTGGGCGCGCGGGGCTTTCTGCCCGCGTGTGTCTGAGCGTGTCACTGCGTGTGGACGAGTGTGTATGCACGCGAGCGTGTGGGCGCCGCCTTCCCCTGTCCCAGGAGCTGACAGCTGTCCCGGGGGCTGCTACACTGGTTGGGCCCTTCCTGCTCCTTCTGGGAACCCAGCACCCTCCCTCTTTCCTGCACTCTGCCTGGCCTGGCCTCGCCTCGCCCAGGACCAGCCCCTGGGTTCCTCGAAAGCCTGACAGGGCGCTGGAGGGACCCTGGGGGCTCTCTGCCACACCTGTCGGGAGGAGAGGGGGCGCCGAGAGGATGCTGCCGAGCTGGCTGAGCCCCAGGTGAACCGGCCAGCCCTGTCCCCACTCTGCGTCCCTCCACTCCTTTCTGTCCTCAAGCGCCGCCGCCTCCTCCTCCCCGCTCTTGTTCCAAACGCCCCCAGGCCCTGCGTTTTACCCCTCCTGCCCTTCCTCTCCGAGGTACTCTCCTGCCTTCCCCTTCCCGGTGCCCTCTTCTTCTCAACCCTGGAGTCCCTGAGGGTCGGGCAGTGGAGGTAAGAGGTACCAGGTGTCCCTGGCACCAAGTGGCCAGCCAGAGGGATGTGAGGGGGACCTCTCCATGGACAGTAAGTCTAGGGGCTCTGAAGACCTTGGGGATGTGCAGGGTACTGGGTGGAGGAGGGTGTGGGGTGTCGGGCTAGTTTATTGACACTGGCATCCCTGATTCTGCCCACAGTGACCGCTGCTCCCCAGGAGCCTCCTGCCCCGCCTCCACCAGCGGGCAGCAGCGAAGCTGGCCCAGCCCCTGGGCGCACCATGCGCTGCACCACCCTGCTGGCGCTCCTAGCCTTGGTCCTGCTCTACTTGGTGTCAGGTGCCCTGGTGTTCCAGGCCCTGGAGCAGCCCTATGAGCAGCAGGCCCAGAAGGACTTGGGGGAGACCCGTGAGAAGTTCCTGAGGGCCCATCCGTGTGTGAGCCCGCATGAGCTGGGTCTCTTCATCAAGGTGCGTGGGGCCAGTGCTCCTTCAGCAGTTGTCCATCTGGGCCCTAGGCTGAGTGTTATTTCCACATTCAATTCCTGAGGACTGGGTACAGGAGTGGGGTTGCAGGACAGGGGCTGGATCTAGGTTTCTTATATATGTCACGGTCTTTCATTTTCCTTGCTATGCCTCACACCCGGTTGTGCTCCTGGAATGTTTCTATGTGAGGGCTATGGAATGGAGGAACATTGAGTAAATGAATGAATGAGTGAATGAATGAATGAAGCACATGGCGCATTACATCTGCACAGGTCTAACTCACCGTTTAGTTATCATATAAAATCCAGGATGCCCAGTTACATGTGAAATTTAACTAAATCGTCTTTTTTTTTTTTTTGTCTTTCTGAGACAGGGTCTTGCTATGCAGTTCAGGCTGGCCTTGAGCTTACTTCATAGCCCAGGCTGGTCTCGAACTCACAACGATTCTCCTGCCTCAGCCTCCCGAGTGCTGGGATTACAGGCGTTTGCCACCACACCCGACCAATCATTTTAATACAAGTGTGTCCCATCCAATATCTTTGCTGCCAAAGCTGACAAGCCTTCTTACATTAGCGCCTATACATTTTTGGAGTCACAGATGCCTTAGAGAAGCCCAAGAACACTGTGAAGAACTTCCCCTCCACCTGCCAAGCATGCATATAACCATGTACGGACAACTTCAGAGCGCTTCTGTCCGTGCCACTGTGGGTGCCAGGGTAGGGGACCCTTCCCCCTGGCACATGCTTAACCAGACAGGCAAGAAGGGGGTGGGCAGGGCCAGATCGAGGCTCCCGTGAGCCACTTTTGATCAACTTCCTTCCAGTCACTACAGAGAGGTCTGGCCTTCACCTTTTGGGATACAGTCAGTGAGCACCTCTTGCTCTCTCTGATTTGAGTCATTGTCAAATGAAACCGTATGATTTAACTTTAATCAGTTAATATGTATGACTGCATTGAAGAGTATCCAACACTGTTCCCTGCTTGTTCTTGGTGGCAGGAGAGGCCAGTAGTATGGAAGCTTCTGCGTTTCAGAGGGGAGGACCCAGGGCAGAGCCATCTGAGGTATCTCTGACATTTCCAGAAAGCAGGAGAAGGCTCAGCTTCGGAGAGGCCTGGATGGAAAGTGTGTCTGGCCAAACCACAGGGCAGAAGGAGGGAGTGTGACCTATTTTATCTTCACAATGCAATGGCTTTTTTCCTGGATAAGAAAGAAAAAAGGGAGGCGCAGGACCTAAAAGGGTCGGGGACAGCTGCTTTACTTCTCTTCCATGATGAAAGTCACTTCTTAAATTAGTTGTGCAGCAATTGTGCATGTAAGTACTGTGTACTAGGGGCTGTGGTGCTATATCCTATGGGGTAAGTAGGTGATGGATTTTGGGGTGGAGCAGATGCAGGTTCTGCTTAGAGGATGTCACATCTAGGTGAAGGGACACATGTATAGACAAATCACTGTAGGGTACTGTGGAAGGGAAGCCTCTTTTTCTTCTTTTTTTGTTTAGCATCCCTGGTATGCTGGGCTCTGGGCTGGGTGAGGAGCAAGAGCTGGCAATTGAAGTGAATAGGATATGAGGGATGGAGTTTAGGGATTGGGGACAGATGACTCCTAGGCAGAGGAACAGCATGGGCAAAGGTGTGCAAACTGGAAAGCTCTAGACTGTCCTGCAGAATCTAGAGTTAGCAGATGCCTAGTCATTTGAAGCAGAAATTAGAACACAGGATGACAAGGGATTTTTTCCTCCTAAGTAGTGAATTTATTGGAAAAGTGTTACAAAATAAAAATTAAATCACTTGTAATCAGACATTTCATTTCTTGCCTTTATTAAAAATTGTTCTTACAGGAAATGGAATCATCTCATAAACTTGGGGGACGGTTGCCATGCCCCAGAAGAGAAGACTGGGGACAGGGAGGTGGGACCAGTTTAGAAAAGGTCTTGTATGCTGGAATGGAGAATGTAAAGTCCATTCTCCAGATAGAAAGGAGCTTAGAGGGTTTGGAGTGGTCCCTGTAGGAAGATTAATTGGAAGTCTCTTGCTAATGAGGAGAGTATTCAGAGAGAAAAAAGGTGGGTTATGTCCTTCCCCACAGACTGTCCTTGTGCTCCTCCAGGAAGGGGCCCTCAGTACATCCTCCTAATTCTCTGACCTCTATCACTTATAATCCCAGGAAGTGGTTTAAGGTAGGAAGACCACAAGTTCAAGGCCAGCCTGGGCAACTAAGTGAGAACCTGTCTAAAAAATAAATAAATAAATAGGACTGAGGATGTAGCTCTGTGGTAGAGCACTCCTGGGTTCAAGCAGAACAAAAAGTACAGAACCTGCCTGAGGGACCTGCAGGCTGGCAAGAGGGCAAATATATGGACACTTCATTTAATAATTCTTATTGAGCACTTATGTAACACTGGTTTTTGCTTGGACTTTAGTGGTGTGTGCGTGTGTGTGTGTTTGTGCATGTACATCCTAAAACTGGTTGCAAACGCTGATGATATTTGAACCTTTCTAGAGGAAAGGCCCCTAATTTTCATTAGATGTCTAAGGCAAGGGAGACCAACTCAGTTTCCTTAGGGGCAGTGGGAGCCATGGTGTTTGCATAAAACTGGAAATCACACGGTACAATCATCACATGGGAATTTTCCTAACAAACACAATGCTTACTGTGTTGTAAGTGCTTTAACTCTTTACAAGTGACCTATGACGTCGGTGCTATACTCGCCCCCACTTGACAGATGCAGAAACTGAGGCAGAGAGTTAATTTACCTTTGGTAACACAGCACCAAGATTTGAACCCAGGCAGCCTAGTTCCAAGAGCTGTGCTTCTGACTGTATAGTTAGACATCTACTGTGTGGAATTAGAGGGCAGATGACCCAAGTGTGTGTTTGTTTTTTGTACTGGGAATCGAACTCAGGACCTTGCACTTGCTAGGCAGGTGCTTGTGCCGATGAGCTATATCCCCAGCCCCCAAGTGTTTCTGAAGCATCACAGAGCTCAGACAAACTTGCCAGCAATGGATCAGGGCACCCAATTTGCATCCTCTGCTGTAAGGTGGGGAGGACTGGCCTAGAGGCTGGAAGGGAAGGAAGGACTCAGTTCCTCCTTCTGTGCCTCGCCCTGCAGGAGGTGGCTGATGCCCTGGGAGGGGGTGCGGATCCAGAAACCAACTCAACCAATATCAGCAACCACTCAGCCTGGAACCTGGGCAGCGCCTTCTTTTTCTCAGGAACCATCATCACCACCATCGGTGGGAGAGGAGATGGGGTCACTGGAGGGGGTGGGGACAAGGAGTTTCCTTATGGGGGAAGGTACAGGGAGAGGTTGGGGTGCCAGGTGTTTCCTAGACTTCTGCATCGCCTCTCTGTCCAGGCTATGGCAACGCAGCCCTGCGCACAGATGCTGGCCGCCTCTTCTGCATTTTTTATGCACTGGTGGGGATCCCACTGTTCGGGATGCTGCTGGCAGGGGTTGGGGATCGGCTGGGCTCCTCCCTGCGCCATGGGATTGGTCACATCGAAGCAATCTTCCTGGTGAGCCGGTCCACACTCTGTGTGCTTTTTGCACTGGACTGAGGGTGCCCTTCCCTAGGTCCCTGGCAACTGACCATGCACCTCTAGAGGGGCAGGCACCTCTGTCACTGACTTGGGGCGGGATGAGGTGTGGTGGCGGGAATGGGAGTGGAGGTTGTTAGAGTCTCCTCTGTGGTCCTGCCTACTGCTCCTCCCTGCAGAAGTGGCATGTGCCACCGGAGCTGGTGCGAGTGCTGTCGGCGATGCTCTTCCTGCTGATTGGCTGCCTGCTCTTTGTCCTCACGCCCACCTTTGTGTTCTGCTATATGGAGGACTGGAGCAAGCTGGAGGCCATCTACTTTGTCATAGTGACACTCACTACCGTGGGCTTCGGGGATTATGTGGCTGGTGAGGCTGTTCTTTTTATACTGCATGTCCCTACTTTATTGCTATCCAGGGTCTCTCCCTCCAAGTTTCACGTGGTGCGTCTGCTCCACCTTCTACATCCATCAAAGAATGCTTCCACATACACCTCTCCTCATGTACACGTACATGCTTGCATGCCTGCGGGCCCATGCATGCTCACACATATATTACGCACACCTCACACGTGTCACCTTCTTGCACGATGGCACCTGTCTTGCCCACTGTCTTGCACCCCTTCGACTCATGCTCTGACCTTCCTGCACACACTCACACATTCTAGCACAAGCTTTTTGTCCTGGGGAGGCTCTGCTATCATAGCAAGGCAGGGAAAAGGGGCAGTGAACAGGCAGGTCAAGGGCTTGCCATGCAACCAACTTCTTTTATCCTTCCCTGGTGGAATCCCAGGCGCCGACCCCAAGCAAGACTCTCCAGCTTACCAGCCGCTGGTGTGGTTCTGGATCCTGTTTGGCCTGGCCTACTTCGCCTCGGTGCTCACCACCATTGGGAACTGGTTGAAAGCTGTGTCTCGCCGCACACGGGCAGAGGTATGCGCATTGGGGTTGGTGCCTCAAGTGCATTCTCTGAGCTGGTTGACCAGTCTGTCTCCTTTTTTTTTTTTTTTTTTCCCAGTACCGGGAATCAAACTCACAACCTTGCATTTGCCAGGCAGGCGCTGTGCCGCTGAGCTAAATCCCCAGCCCTGACCAGTCTGTCTCCCTTCCAGAGTGTGAGTTTCTCAAGGCAGATATTAAGGGAGACTTTGTGTCTGGTGACTCCACCACCTCTGCCCTTATGGATAAGACTGTTAGATATAGCATATAAAAGTACAGAGAGCGACCAGGTGTGGTGGTGCACGAGCCTGTGATCTCAGCACTCTGGGAAGCTGAAGCAGGAAGATCTTGAGTTCAGCCCAGCCTGGGAAATTTGGTGACTTAGATCCTGTCTCAAAATTTAAAATAGATAAATAAATAAATAAATAAATAAGTAAATTTTTTAAAAAGGCTGGGGATGTAGCTTAGTGTACAGGCCCTGGGCTCAATCCCCTGTACCACGAAAAAAAAATGAAGAAAGTCCAGTTAAATGTGAATTACGGATAAACAACAAATAAAATTTTAGGATACGCTCTAAATGTTGCATGGGGCATAACGTCACTTGTTATTTACCTGTCGAAAACACCCAGTCGGTAGAGGGCGCAAGGGTCTCAGGGCTGAAGTACAGCTGGGGTTTTCCAAGAGGGCGCCTCTGGCAAATGGAGCGGGAAGAGCTCGCAGCCGAGGGGAGGTGTCTTTCCATTTTCCTGCCGGCCTAGGCTGGAGAACCAGTCGAAAAAAACGTGGATGCCTGATCGATGAAGGGTCAGGCTCCCTGGGCTGCGCAGGCAGTCAAGGACCACTGGCCGAAGACTCCTTTTCCTCCCCGCGCAGATGGGTGGCCTCACGGCGCAGGCTGCCAGCTGGACCGGCACAGTGACAGCGCGGGTGACCCAGCGAACCTTGCCCACCGCACCGCTGCCAGAGAAGGAGCGGCCACCTCTGCCTCCCCTACCCTGTCCAGCGCAGCCAGTAGGCCTGCCCCAATCCCCTGTATCCCCAGAGAAAGTGGCCACGCCCTCCCCGCCCACCGCCTCCGCCCTTGATTACCCCAGCGAAAACCTGGCCTTCATCGACGAGTCCTCCGACACACAAAGCGAGCGTGGCTGCGCCCTGCCGCGTGCACCGAGAGGTCGCCGTCGTCCCAACCCTCCCAGGAAGCCCGCGCGGCCTCGGGGTCCAGGGCGCCCCCGAGACAAAGGGGTGCCCGTGTAAGGTCAGGACCCCGGGTCAGGCCTCTCAAAGGACTTTACTCCTGCTGTCTCCCTGGCATGCTTGGCTTGTTTGACCAAAGAGCCCTCTTTCGACTCTCAACTGAGGCCTAGGCAGGAGGCTTAGATCGCCTGCCCACCACCTCTGGCCCCTGGTCCCTTCCTCACTTCCGCCCATTCTGTCGCACAGCCCCAGCAGGGTCTGTCCCTCACAACACCTCACAACTGTGCCTCCAAACCTGCATCAATAAATGAAAACACTCTGCACCGCTGCGGGCGTGGGCGCTCCGGGACGTGAGTGGGTGTGGGAGCGCGTCCCTCGGGCCACCGCGGGGCCACCCCCAGCCCCAGGGCTGCCGGACACCCACATCAATGAAGTCGAGGTCCTCTGCCTGGAGGCCACCGGCTGGGTAGGGTCCAGCAGCAGAATTGGCCAAGATGTTTCCAATCTCAGCTCAGATCAGGGGTGGGGTGGGGTACTGGGGGCAGCTGGTACGGGGAGCGAGCCCCCCACTGCTGTTCTAGAAGGAGAACCCGCCCCTCCCCCTTCTGGAGCGTGACCCCTGCCTTCCCAGAGGCCGGCAGCACCTGGGTCCGTTGGGGCCGAACCATGGAGGAAGAGCCTTTCAAAGTAAGGACCCGTTCCTGTCTCTCGCTTGTCACTCTTTCTTGGTTCCACCCCAAGCCCCTGACATAGATCTCATTTAGCCCGGGCTCCTGCAGCGTCCACTATCGTCCCCACCCTCCCCTCGCCCTGATTTAGGGCCCCTAACCCCGACCACCAAGACCCTGGTTTCCCTCCTTGTATGTGGCCCACAGGCGTCTTCAGACCACCGAAACCTGGGTCAGGCGAGCGGGCACGATGGCCTTCCAGATGGGGGTATCCAGGCAACACTGTCGCAGCCAGGCCTGAGCACGCAGCTGTCTGAGGTCCGAGGGAGCTCGGACCAGAACCATGGCACAGGCCATGAGACCCGCGGGGACAGCCAGCAGGGCCTCCTGGAGGATGGTGACAAGTCCATTTCACAGAGGGACAAGGACAGTTCCAAGCCGGAGGACCTGGACCAGCACACTCTGCTGGACCTGGAACCACCCCGCAGCAGCACCCAGGGCATCTGGTTAGCAGAGTTGGACAGCGAATCTGGGAACGGTCAGTGCGGCCTCGCCAGGTCATGGGCGCCCACAGTATAGGTGACTGGCCAGGGTCTCACTTTTCCTTCTGTACAATGGAGTAAGCCCATAGCATCCAAGTTTATAGTAGTGCCAGGAAGGGCGCTAGCGTAGATCCTACTTGCTTTCAATTAACCAAATATTCCTTGAGCGCCCTCTAGCGGGAGGGCGTCTACAACGCCGAGGCCAGAAAGCGCGCAGGAAAACATGCCAAGGCAGTGCACAGAGACCTGTGCCTTAAATGGAGCGAGCTGAGGGGAGTGTATTAATTTCCTCTCAGGATTTGTGCTGGTTGAGGAGTTATTTTTCACTTAGTCAGTCATTGTTTACAATTTGTGTTTTTTTCAGTCAGGGTTGCTAGGTAGTTCAGGCAGGTCTTGCACCCACTATGTAGCCCAGGCTGACCTTGAATTCACAGTGATCCTCCTACCTCAGCCTTCGGAGTGCTGGGATTACAGGCGTGCACCACCACGCATGGCTTCTGTTTACAATTTTTAAGCACATACTACAGTATGCTGGGCACTGTTTGGGACCTCCTCCTTTCTTCCCTCTCTTTTTGGCAATACCAGAGTTTGGATTGAACCCAAGTCCTTCACAATGAACCCTTTTTAATTTTTTATTTCCAGGCAGAGTCTCGCTTAGTCACTAACCTGCCCAGGCTAGGTTTGAACTTGAGATCCTCCTGATCCAACCTCCCAGAGTGCTGTGGTAATAGGCATATACCGCCATGCCAGCTCCTCCCTTCACTTTCATCAGGGGATTAAAACTGATAATATCACAATTGTTACATACCGAGCACTTGCTCTGAGTTTCCCTTGCATGGTCACCTTTAAGCTTTACAAACTCCACAAGAAGCCACTTTTAGGATCCATTTTACAGATGAAGAACTTGAGGAGGGTAAGTGTCAGTTACTGGAACTGGGGACGAAAAGTGGTGGACCACTTGCCTAGCATGCACAAAACCCGTGCATGGGTTCTACCCCCAGTGTGTGTATGTGGGGAGCTGTCACTGAACCTAAGTCTCACACAGTGGGACAGCCAGAATTGGAACCTAGGAGTGTACCTACTATCTTATACTGTCTCTGACTAAAGTAGCAGGTGGAGCTGGTCTCTGAATTGTACTCCTTCCCACCACATGCAGCTCTGTTCCAGGGAAGACCTAGAGTCTGCAGGTGGCTGACCCCTCTTTTTTCTTCTCCCAAAAGAGCATTTCTCAGAGTCATTGTCTAGTACCTTGGAACAAGCAGGCTTTCGACTCTACTTGGCAGAGCAGCAGAAAAAGGTCAGAGAGGCTGGGGGTGGGGAAAGGGCAAGTTGAAGAGTACATCAGTGAAAGAATAGGGGTGGCTGGCAGGGTGGAGGGACAAGCAGCTGGTTGGGGGGTCTTGGGGCTGCAAGGATCAGGTGGAACATTTCTTTTGTGGGCAGAACTAGGGTCTCCCACATGCCTGAGCCTCTTCACTGTTTTTTCAGCTGCCGCTGCCCCTGAGGGAACTCATGGAGACTGAAGCTCTGGAAATCCTCACCAAAGCCCTCAAGAGTGAGCCCCCCTCCCTTACAAAAGATCCCGGTGTATTCTGCAGGGCTTGGGCCTTGTGGGGATGGAATTTCAGAATGAGTATGCTTTGTCAGATGGCCTTAGCACTCACAAATACTCCAAGGGCCCCACAGAAATAAAGAGTTGAGAGACGAAGGTCAAGATGGGGAGAGCATGGGGTGACAGGCCTCCGTGGAGCTCCTTTCTAGGTGAGGTTTTCTCCCCTTGCACAGTGGGATGTAGTTTTGGCTTCTTCCCAGGTGGGGGAGCTGTGAGGGGCTAGTGGATTTAGGTAAATTTACTGGACAGTGGATTATTTGGGTAAACTCCCCTTTGGGTGTGACATCCAAAGGGTCATATTTAGAGTGGGTGGTCCAGGAAGTTTCCACAAAGATGCTAGCCTCTACCACCACAGTTCAGGCCTGCGGCATCCTCTCCAGCTGGCTCTCACCACCCTCCTCCACCTTCGCACTAAGGGGGCGATCCAAAGTTCCCCAAATTTACACAGGGCCCAGCGCCCAATCACCTGCAGCTCCTCGAATCATACAGGCGGTGCCGCTGGTGGGGAAGCCTCGCCGGTGCTCACTGCCCCAACTCAGCTCTGCCTTCCAGGCTATCGGTCCAAGATCGGCGAGAACCACTTTCTGACTCAAGAGCTGCAGCGAAGCGTCGAGGAGCTCCAGAGGCGGAAGAGGCTACTCTGGAAGTCTCAGTGAACCTCTGTCTCTAGCAGCGGTTCGACTCCTGCCCCTTGTCCTGTCCCGTCCCCAGACCCAAGCCCGACCCCATCCGATTGGAGTCTGAGCCCAAGAGAAATTAAAGAGTCTGTGCATAATCCGTGAGTCAGTGCGTGGCTGCCTGCGTGAGGCGGACGCACGTGGCCCCGCCCTTCCCCGTGACCTTCATTCGGTCACCGCAGTGACCTTGAGTTTTCTCTGTCCGGATCTTATCGGCCCTGCCTTCCAGGGACTCGTAGTCCAGGACTACTTGCACGTGTAGATCTACTTCACCCACCCGGGATTTCGCAGCTTTCCGGGACTACTGAGTCTGCCGCTCAGGTGCCCAGAAAGCGTTAGCTAGGGGGAATGGGAGAAGGGACAGGGCTGCGCCCCTTCCCAGAGCTGGGCTCCACCCCCTATGCATATGCAGATACCCCGGCCTCTCTGCCCATCCAGCCCTCTTATTTTCATAAAGCCTTCCTCTCTCGCAGCTGCGGCCACAAACGACGTTGCCCACTCCTCTAGCGCAAAGCTCCACCCGCCTCCTCTGTTCCCTCTGGGATCTCATTCCCAGAGCCCCACTGCGTCTCTGGTCCCGCCTCCGGGCGGCGGCGTACGCAAGTACGCCGCTGAGGGTCGGGGGCGGGGCTTCTAGGAAGGCCCGCCCACTGGCCCTGAAGGCTCCGCCTGACTCCTCCGGGAACACAGGCGCTGCCCGCCTCATTTATCTGATTAGCATAGGGCGTCGGGCCCCGCCCTCTGCTTTGCATGCGCACGACCGGCCCCGCCCCCGCTGTCAGCTGGAGGAAGCGGAGTAGGAAGCGGCCGCGATGTCCTTTTGTGTCCTACAAGCAGCCAGCG